ACCTCAACTGATGAGGTTTCAATGCTTCATTTATTGATTTGCCATCCTTACCTAGAACTCGTTTCCTAACAATGGTATTGATTACTCGGTCGTCCCAGGATACACGAGCAATGCTTCGGATACACCTATGATCGAAGACTAGTAACCTACGAATCTCCTCTACTCTTAACGGTCATGTTTCGCATCCGTATAGTAGGACAAAGCGAACTGCAGCACAGTACACTCGTCCTTTGGTTAACAAGCGGATATCTCGCCTGCGCTATAAGTGACGCAGGTTGGCAAAAGCTAATCGAGATTTCTGTATCCGAGCTGAGATTTCGTCAGTCACCAGGCCATCGGCACTGATGAGACTCCCAAGATAAGTGAAGCGGTCTACACGCTCAACTACTTCACTCCCTATCACTAGTTCACATGCCGATGCAACCCATTCTTGAAGCAACATTTTGCATTTCGATGGGGAAAACCGCATCCCGAACATGCTTGCATTGTTGCTTATGGTAGTCAGAAGACTCTACATCTTGTCAGCGTCTTCACCAAGTAGGACTATGTCATCGGCATATTCTAAGTAGATAAGTGAGTTTCCTGGTAGAAGGTCTACTTCTGAAAATTCGGACGAGGATAAGGTTATATCTAGGAGCATGTCTATGATAAAATTAAACAAAAATGGAGAAAGTGGACATCCCTGACGGACACCACTTGAAGTAAGGAATTCCTGTGACAGTTCGCCATAAGCTCTCACTCGACCAGTGGTGTTTGAGTAGAGAGCTTGTATGAGGTTAATGTACTTATTTGGTACACCTTTCAATGACAGACACTGCCACAGAACCTCACGATCCACAGAGTCAAATGCCGCCTTAAGGTCCAGGAAAACAACTATTGTAGGACGCCTAAATGTGTGTCTGTGTTCCAGGACCTGTCGTAGTGTGAAAATGTGGTCTATACAACCACGTCCAGGTCGAAAACCAGATTGGTTTTCTCTAGTCTGCTCTTCACGAGCTTTCGTTAAGCGTCGAAGTATTATTGAGGCCAGTATTTTAGATACTATATTAGTTAGACTTATTCCCCTGTGATTGTCACAAGAAGACTTTTGTCCTTTCTTATAGATTGGGACAATCAGTGATTGAGACCAGTCGGATGGGATTACGTCCAGTTCCCAGATTCTACCTAAGATCTCGGCCAACCTAGTTGCTAAAAATGGACCACCATCCTTAAATATCTCAAGGGTCAGTCTATCAGGACCTGCAGCTCGCCCTCGCTTCAGATTTCCTAACGCTTTCTCAACTTCATAAAGACTAGGGGGACTTACGTCGATTTACCATCCTAGGAGAGCTAGTTCTACCCTACAACTCAATACTATACCTACACCAGCGAGACCCCGGGAAGCAGCATCAGGGTTACCGGATACACGAAGAGTAAATCGAGCTGCTTCTTTATTTTGACAAGGCGAAATCAGATTAATGATTTTACTAGGATCCTGTATGCGCGTTTCCGAGACGCAGCACACATCAATCGAACGAGATCCTAAAGTCCTAGCTAAGGAAGCCTGTTGCCCTATTTGACATAATGTCCGTACATCAAATGCTTCAACATGTAGTTTAGAACGGGGTTTAAGGAAACCAGGAACGACATTTCGTAAACCCGCATCGTTTGCGTTAGCGGTGCAGTGAGCGGAAGGAATGCGACTAGTTAGTCGTAGAGATAAGAGAGATATTAGGGGTGTAAGAAGGATTTGATTTTGACCAATTTGGTCTCGTGTGCTGTTACGAGTATGAGGGCGGTTGTCACTTCCCGGCTGCCCACACCATGGAAGGGCGTTTCTTGAGGGACCTGAAAAGGAAGATAGATTAGTGTTGATCTTAGAGACCTGGGTGCGTGACCGCAGAGCCCAAAAGACAACTGCTTGAGGCAGTTGTTTTGATGAAAGGTTTTTTGAGTATTAGCTCCGTTCTTAAAAGCCCTCATTGAGCACCCTTACCGACGGGGACGGAAACCCGTGAGGTAGAGTGAGGTGTGACATTTTTAGGATCGACCTTTTCTGACCCTTCCTTCCTTGTGAGAAGGCAGCATCGCTGCAGATGCTGGTTGTCCGAGGGAAACACCTTACTGCTGTCACACCCATCTGCAGTCAGCAGTACGACTTCGCCCTCAGACCTTAAGTAGCTGCTTTTAGTCTCATCGTTCTCCAGTCGACCTTCCTGGCATGGTAGAACCTTCAGGAACATAAGTTCCAGCCAATATAGCTCGGTTGGGTCATGACGATAGGCAAGCCCGACCACCACGTCAAGGTAGCAGCTACGGTCGGGATTGAATCCGTTCTGGCGAATACTGATCAAACTTGATACAAAGATTTGCTATTTATATCTCCTGTTCTAAATTTGGCACCGCAAACGTCGAACTTACTGCCCTAAACATTTCGTCTAAATAAAAGTTACCTGGAAACCTTTGGCAGCCCTTGGTTCGTATTCCTGAGATGTCATCGGAAAAGTTGGATAGACGAGCTTGCGATACGTGGTAAACTATTTACGTAAAGTAGGAAAAGAAGAGGCATATGAATATTCCTTCGGCGAACTCCACTCTCTTCACAGATTCCCGTGGTGACAATGTGCTGTTCACCCTTATTTTTCATCTCCCATCATTGAGAAAGTCAATTATGCACCCTTTGACTATTGTTGAATCCGAAGTTTTCCAGTTTTAATTTGACGCTTTATCGAAGGCCTTACTTATACCTATAAGAATCACATCTGTCGAAATATTTCTATCTTCTGCTACAGTGCAGTCTTCTCTTGAAGTGAGGTTAGTTAAACATGAGAGACCTTTGCTAAAACCATGTTTTTTCCTTTCTAAAATATTATTATCTCCCAAATCAAAATAAAAATACGAAAAATCTTTTCCTTCTGTTTAACTATTAACCCACCAACAGTTCACCTCTCCTGCTTGATTAGAAGTTGGAAGCACAAATAAATCTTTTATTCACTAGTGCTTGAAAGTAAAACAATGCTGACATTTTGGTAAGACTTAACATATAACCAGTGGAGTGAATGAAAAGGAAGACAGCTGTAGCTGAACTAACGACCCTTCAACAAAGTGGTGAAGAAAACCTTCATCTGGTATACTTTTGTGTACTCATGTCTTTGAAGTGAATGCTACTAAAAACTGTATGGATGGGTCGACCGCCTAAAGAATCCTATACACAAATGCTCGTGGTCTATAAAATGAATTCCTTGACTAATGCCACTCATCATAATTCCTGAATCATTTTTAGCAGTTTACATTTCAAAGGAATAGGGTCTAATAATTAGTCCAGTCAACCGAATGGAGTGTATAAAGAGTCACATTCACAATAAACTAATATGAGATCCGTAAAACTACCGGGAAATAACGACAAAGTTACACAATATCTTTGTAGATGCAAGAAGCAACCAAAAATGCGATAAACTGCAAAACAAATTCTACAAGACTGGTCTCTAATCGAGATAATTCAAGTCAAAGATACACAAATATGCTCTTGGCGCTATAAATACGCAAAAGCGAAGTCAAAGCACAAAGATTTTAAATCTCTACTGTTTTAAAACCGAATAAATCATTAATAACGTGCACGAAAAACTGAGTTAGTTTAGTATAACCTACCACCTAATTAAATAACCTCCCTGTTAGTCGTCTTACCCGATAAACAGACCGGTAAGTACTAAATATCATGTGATGTTTATTAAGTAGCATGATAAAACGTGTACAATAATGTGTAATGTATTAACATTATAGGTACGGTTCAGTATGAACGCAGACGCAAATTAGTTAAAATTTGAAACCGTGGTACTTCTCTCAGAATTTAAAAATGTTTGTGATAATGAATTATTGCTGACCTTTGAAACTACTTAGATATAAAATAGTATATACGGCATAGGCACAAACTTATCAATGGACAAAAGCATTGTTCCATATTTGTTTAATTTTGGATGTTCGACGATACCTACTCACTTATGCTCTAGGCTTTTTCAGTCTCTGGCAAACACGTTAAATACTATTAGTGATAACCTGTCTCTAACATCATAATCTTACGTCACGCATTATCATCGAGATCAGTTTTACTGTAGGCTTATCTGTTGAGACTACGGAATGAAAATATCAGATGTTTATCTTCAAGAAAAACTTTCCTTGTAATGCCAACTTTTCATCATTAATTGAGATTACTAATTTATCAAGTACAGGTTTATGTACTTGTTTTTGAGGTTGCATATAATGAAGTAGCTAAAGGAACGTAAGAATCTACAACGTCTTAATGGATGGTTTTCTGTTATACGAATTCTTAATAGGAACACATCACTAACGTAAAGAGCAGTAAAACTATTTAAGTTTTGTAATTATTATTATAATTTCTGGACAGAGATAATCCATCATCATTCAGTTGCAAGTTTAATGTAATCCAAAGCCATCCAGTCAAATTCATGATGTTGTAAATTACTGGATCGGTGAAACTTGGTTTGATATTAATACAAACACTTCGAACGTTTTGAAGTAGCTTTAGTATAAAATATCAGAAAGACCCAATATGCAGTCAGTAATACATGTAACAATATTGGAACATATTATTTTTCAAGTAAAATGTAGGTGAAATTTTGATGTGGATGATGGTAAATTCTGACAGACCAATCAGGGAACCTAATTATACATTTGGTCTTTAGTTTTGAAATTGAGTTTAGTTCTACATCTTGTGTTTTGTCATGTTAGTTTTCCCTAGTGAACGGTTTCCGTAAACATTCCAACTAATCCTTACTTTTCTTCTTGGATTATGGTTTTTTAGTTTTAATATATCTCAGCCAACACCGCTCAAATCCATTTGATTTTCAATTGAATCCCCGATGAATCCCTGACAAATGACAATTCAATATGGTTAGAGTCGACCACTCCCATTAATTGAAAGTTGGAATGCTTAGTTAATTTTGGCGCTAAGGACCTTCTTTCAGAACACACTTGAATCGCTTTGGCAAAATCTCAATAGCATTATGCTAAGCAAAGTCATAACTCGTGCTCCCAACTTTTTGAAGAGTCACTTGATATACTCCCACTGTTCCTTACTAAATCTCTTGATAGAAAAGACAGTCTTTGCTGGCATTAGATTTAAAGGATCTAACCGTTTTCTTTCATGTACCACAAGTGAAGAGTTGAGTCCTGTCGTCAGAACCACAAATCAGTATGCCAAAAATAGTACTACCCATCTAAGTACTATTGAAGATTTACAAAATTTTGTGTCACATGTAAGTTACTTTTAATATATATAACGATTATTCATACAAAGGGGCACATGCATATTTATGCACTACACAAATTGATAAATTTGTCTGTTGGCAGGGATACTATTCAAGTGCCCATACCAAAGAAGATGGTCTTAGGTCCTTTTCTGAGCCATGTAGAGACACTGAGTGACATGGCTCGAAACCGTTCGCAATGACACAGGTGCATTTATTCTTTGTGTTCTATGAAATTCTAACCTGAATTCCTCATCACCTCTATCTTTCTCTTTCTAAATTTACCCCACCGAATCATACTTCTCGAATAACATATTCGAACTCTAATCTCTCCGATTACTTCTAATACTTTTACTACCTCCACTACTATGGGATTTTAACTGACAATTATATCTTTATGCTTATGTGGTATGGCAACTTGAACTGCTGTACTTAAGTGCAAAGTTCTACGTTGCTGTTGACGAAGAGTTTCTGAGCCATGGACTCAAAGGTTTAATCCAAAAGGTAGTGAAACTGTCAATAACTGCAGTCCCTTTGTAGCGGTGAACGACAACAGGTACATAAAGCGCTTGTTCTATCAGTAAACTGGAGCTTAGATTAATTCTCCGTATCCACTAAACTGGTTTAAACTCCGAATATCCTCTTTTCGTCCACCGCTGCGAGAAGGCAATGAGTAGGGCTTCGCTATCAGTGGCTCTATATGTGTGGCCATATGAGAGTATTTCGAGAGGCAGAGTAGACTCTTCCCATTCTTGGGCATGCCAGAACATTTTAGAGCATACATATTTTTTGGAGTAGGTAGAGTAGTGCTGAAACTTGATATCTAGTGGTTAAAAGCAGAGTGAGTCAGTCAATAAGGTACCTCTCTATAGATGTTCATTTCATTGGACACCAATTTATTATCCAGTTATATATTCGGCCCCATAGGTTATAATCGCATTCAGATATCATAATCTTCACACTTCATGGTAACTGATAACGAGGATTACGAGCTGGTCCCTCTACATACCAGTCACCATTAATTATGATCATACAAACTTAAAGTTATTCTATTGTCTACACCACTTTACTTTCACACGATTTATACTCTTCCTTACAACAATTTTAATGTTAAACTCAGCAACTCATTTATGTCAAGTAGTCATAGTTTTCTTCCGTCAGTTATCAACAAATGTAGTATTTGTAACTGTCTCATACCCCGACACGGTCGAACTCCACTATTTATATCTTCTCCGTACAACTCTTGGAACTGGGCATCATAAAGAAGGTCCTGGGTTTAATTACCTATGGCTGGGTCGTGAATGCATACTTCCAAGAAGTCCCTTACTAGGACGAAACAGTTGTCCGGTACTTCCTGGTTTTTAGTGACAGTTTAGCCAAAGTAGCTCTTAGTTAAAACTAAAGATCGTGTAGTCTTTTCAAATTCTCTCTCCATGCATCATTGAAAGTCCCATCTCTGGTGGATCGCCGATTGACGAAATCTCGACTGACAACATAACGTTTATTCGCTAGTTTATGACACCTGTGCTTCAGGGGAAATTTTCACCTACTTATCCGAAATATTTATATTCTCCATGAAAAACGTCTTCCTGTTGATCTACCAATGTGATTAAGTAGGTAAGTTACGATGTAGAACTTCGTACGTACGTACATAAGTTCAGGTTACCATGCCACATTAGCACAGAGACGCAATTGTCAGTTCAAATCCCATACTGGTAGAGATAATGAACGTATTACGAATGTAAAATACAGGGATGAAGTAAAAGATATAAAAGTAAGATTTATAAGTGCTAGACATAGAATGTTATCCGAAGCATTGTATGAGTTTGGCAGAGAAACGATACTGGTGATAATTATGTAGTGTTGATAATATTTTAACCTGCATTGATTCAGATAATCGTGACATGTGTTACGTAACTGCAGCTCCTGTGTACCTTGGTATAATCTGTTGATTAATAAATGACCAAAGATGAATAAACTAGGACATAATGTCAATGTGTAAAATCATTCTTCATCAATATGAGATGTTCAAGGGAATGTAGGCTACCTAGTTAACACTTTTGAGTCCATTTTCAAGAAGGTTGGTTGCAGTGATGCTTATGTATACCTATTTTCATACATTTTGTTCTTTGTTTTGTTTTTTATTTCGTTATTCTCAACTTCTTGTTATTCCTTTCGTTAGTCACTTCTCTTTTGGATGCTTTACGGTATGATAAGTTAGACGTGAACATGTAATAGATCGTACGTGGCTATTGTCTATTTATTATACATATTTCTCCCTATCCTAGAATATGCAAACTGTTAGGCTTTTAATTAACAATCGTCATCTTGTTTTTCTACTGACAGACTATTTACTGTATAATTAAGCGCCAGAGTTTACCTTTTTTATTTTGAAAAATAAACATTTATCTTGTCTAGCCTAATACAACGGTCAACGATATTTTGGATATTGATATACGTTTGCTACCTTCTGAAGCATGTATGATGTGTTTAGAAGCTTTACTAAGAATTCAAAATCGACCTAATGATTTGTTAATTCGAAATATTCAAAATGATTTGAGGAATTCTATTGCAACTGATGGTGATTGGCCTTCACATTATATAAAATTGGAGCATATAACAAGATGGCACCAATTTGATATAGGAATTAATTCATTTCATAATAATGTTGATCATGACTATTCTTGGATGGATTCCGAAAAATTCGATCTTTTGTTATTAACAACTGCGGCTTGTGCTGAAAGTTTACCTACTGAATCCTTGTTAAAGCTATCTGGATATTTTCAGTATTTTTGGAATAAATATGAACCAAAAGTGTACGCATCAGTACTACGTCATCTCAATAATCAGGTAAAATTTTGACGTTTTTCTGTAACTATTTTATTACTTGTAATTATAATTATTTTCCGGAAAAATATTTTAAACTAGACCATGGTTTATAACTAGCCAGCAAACAGAGTAAATATTACTCAGTAAAATGCACATGTCTATGTGATTGGATCATTATATAAATGCTAAATGGTGATTGATGCATTAGAATTCCAATAAAATTAACCTTGCATCATAAATTCAAGTGTGATGCTAAATTCAGTATATTAAATGAAAGAATAAGTCTGAAAATTTAATACTACTGTATATCATGATATTCTGTGTTGTGTTTCAAGTAAAGTTTTACGTTGACTCACGAGCAGTTTGCCGGTTTTTTAATGATTTTTCTTCACTTTAGTTGATGGTCAACAAGCTCAACAGAAACAGTAAAAATTTCTATCGATTCTCTCTCTCTCTCTCTCTCTCTCTATATATATATATATATATATATATATATAAACCATAGTTTCAAACCCTACCCCACGATTGAGGTTTAGGCAACCGTGTAGAGTACCATTAGCCTTCACACAAAACTTATACCTAAATGACTTCATAAATATATACTTGATATGAGTTAATTATTCTATTACATTTACTTCTGTTCTTATTTATTTCAATTAGATTAATGAATTATCATGTATACAGTTGGCTCAATTGGCGCATATATTATCTGATTTGGATGATCATCGACTTCCTATAATCACTGGGGAATTACATACTGAGATTGACTTATTGAGATCAGCAATTTCTATTCATTTATTGGCAAAAAAAGAGATATTAAGTTCCATAGATCCTACAGTGGCAATTCGTATGATATACGATTTAAGACAGGCACTTTCACATGATCAAAGATTGATTTTATTTGATCCTATTTATCATAATCTTATATTGAATGGTGTACAGTGGAATTTGTATACAGTTGTTTTTCTACTGCTTCATGCATGTAAACTAAAGATCTGTAAATTGTCAATAATAAAAAGGTTAATTCAATGCATTTTAATGGTTAATTTGCTTTTTAAACTTGTTTATGTCAATATTTTATTGAACTGGTTCTTTTGCTTCTCTTAAAGCTACATTTGAACCTTTCCAGCACTTCTGGTTATTATAATCACATTATTTGATTAGTCGTCCTTGTTTAATTTCCAAATTGTTTTTCTATTTTAAACTATATACATAAAATCATATTATCTGGTGGAATATAGTTTAAAATTAATCTGTTTATACTTGAAAAGAAGACTTATCTATGTGTATCTATGTATGTCAACTTGAAATCTTGTTGAAAATGGCAACTATAAATGATGAATATTTTCAATTAATTATTCTTAATATTAAGTAAATATTTCTAAATTACATTGACATTGAATTGGTTTTGTTCATAATTTTTCTAATATTTCTCTCTTTTTCTTTGTACTAATGCGTCTAAATTCTGTTCAGATCTAAATAATTGAATTTTATTAAAAAAGTATTGAGTAAAGAAAATCGCTAAGAATGTCTATCTTAATTACTATCTATTATTCAAAAGTTAAATCATGTTGTAGATGAAACACTGACGAATGAATTTAAAACATGAATGAAATCCACATCTCGGTTATTGCCATTATTTAATCCCTAAATAATCAAAATTAGCATCTGACAGAAACAATTTGAGCAATATCATTGAATTATTAGTTTGGATTATACATTGTACTTATTATGATTTTTGTTTCTTTTTTTTTTTCAAATTTTTTTTTTTTAGTTGCCTAAGCAAAATACCACGTAAACTACGAATATCAAATTATCATCCTAGTATAAATCAATCTCAGTGGATTAATGCTATTCTTGCTGCTTTAGCCAATTATACAGTTAGTTTTCATGGTATAAGTGAAAATTGTGAAGAAGAATTACTACATTTCATTGAACCACCATATCGTAGACACATCAATGATACAAGACCAATATGTAGTAATTTATTTAGTGCTTACGAAATATTTACTTCAAGTTGGGTTAAAAAATTATTCGATAATATATCTCAGCATATTACAAGTCAACAAATAGTAGATTATAATTCTTTAAAGTGTTTAGCACAGATTACTTATTCTTTGTCTTTGTTTGGTTACAAGGCTGATTCACTTATTGAACATTTTAATGTTGCATTAAAAAGACTTCACAATGATATTTCTCCTACTATGTCAACAACATTAACAAATGACTTTAATCAGCTATCTTTATATATCAGCATGGCTAAATGTATACTTAATCCACTTTCTAAAAATAGCAGTGAAACTGAAAGTAAGTTCAATTTGTTTTGATTTAACTTCGGTAAAGAGCGAAGTTGAATAAGTTGAAAAAAAAATCATACTCAACTTTTCAGTGAATTGTATTTCCCATTAAATTAAAAAGAATTATTACAAAAGAGAGGGTGTTAAGTGTCTGAGATATTTTTATCGTTGTAATTTCTATGTACTGTATTAATATAATTTTTTTTAATTGCCCTAAGAGAAATCGCATGCAATTTATAAGTATCTTGTTTGCTTACTGTACTTTTCAACACTATTTTCATTACATAATAAAATACTATTGCAATTGAATTAACTTCCGATGTAAACTATGTATATTCAGGCATGATTTTGCTTGATCGAAACTCTTATCCCTGAAACATTTATTCTGAATCGACTATATCGATTTTTTTCGGCAAAATCAATCCCTGTAATGTTGATATTGATATGATCGCTAAATGATATGCTTGAATGCTATTACGAGTTTACTTAATTCGGTAAACAGAACGAAGCGCAGTGACTCAGTGACACGATAGGCTATTCTGATCTGATTGTCCCCGGCCCTGCTAACTAGATCAAGAAGTCTTGATAAGGAGTAGATAATGTACTCTACAAGCACCCAGAAAATTCGAGGTTGCTAAGCACACAAATCAAGCTTATTTATACAATGGTAGAAACGCTCTTGGGAGAGCCACAAAATAGCGCACTAAAAAAACCCGTGAACCAATGACGGTAAAGGATTTCCGAGTGGGGAATGTCAGCTAAAGGTCAACTTAGTACCTCTGGCGCGAAAGCATAGGAATTCAAAATTTCAGAAATAAATTATAAAGTTAGGACCTTTTCCAAGTGAGTTGTGGGGATCTAATGTCCCCAACAAATATACAGTCAAAACTAAAAGTCTTATTTACTGTTTTTGATGTCTTTTACTGGTTACTGAATGTATATTAAGTCAGTCTTGTTTGATTGTTTGTTTACTTTGTTGTATAGAACTGTCTATTTCGTCATTACCCCTTGATTATTGGAGATTCTATTATCAGTGTGGTCTTGGACTTTTAAAAAGGTTTGTTTGACTATTAAATAAAAATTAATGTGATTGTTGGAAAAATTTGCGCAGTTAATTTTGATTTCATAATGATATAAAGCTTATAAAGAAATGCGATATATAATGTTCACATGCACTTTAAAGTTAGCTAATTAGTCATCAATACCGTTGTATTTTCTTATATCATTATCAGATTGTTTCATTTCATATGATACAACAACTGTCACATTTCAGTGATAGTCGTTAATTTTAAAGTTTATACCATATTTTCCTTAACATCACTCAAAGTAATTATGATTCGTTTGATTTGAATTTTCAGTTCGACCTAAATGAGCATTATCGTTGTTTGTGAAATGTTTGCTTTTTCACATAATGCCTTGAGTTCAATCTTGTTTAGATGTTTTGTGGAAGACCTGCAACTTTTGAAGTTGAAGAGGCAAGGTCATATGAAATGAAGGAGAGAATCAGGTTAAAATAGATTGGCCTCGGAAATCTTTAAGGATGTTGGTCCAGTTTCAGAAGTTGTGTTGACAGAGGTCTGACTAGAATCTTACAATTCGACGTAATCCCACCTGAATGGCGTCGACGCTGATCGTCTCAGTCTGTAGGAAGGAACAAACATCCTGCTGTGACAGTCATAGAAGAATCACTTTGACTATAATAATACATAGTATCGACCTTATTAATAACTTGACGCTTATATAGCTCTCGTGAAGAGCAAACTTGACTAACCAGTTTGGTTTCAAACCTGGACTTGAATGTATTGACCAAGTATTATCCATCCGTTAGGTTTTGGAGCATAAAAATATTTTTGATATCCGGTTACAACTGTAAAGCAGCACCCGACTTTGCTGGTCAAGAGATTATATGGCAATGCTTGTCATTGAAAGTGCATGAACCTTGTAATGCTCTCTGATCGAATACGACTAGTCAAGTCCAGAGCCTATGGTGAATTGTCATCAAAATTGGTTATTTGTAGTGATGCTCGTCAGAATCACTCGGTTTCCCCATTTTTATTTAATTCCATCATAGACATTCTTGCAAAACTAACTCTATCATCGTCTGAGTGTTCAGGAGTTGGTCTGTTACCAGGAAATAAACATATAGAATTAGAATGCGCAAATGGTATAATCCTATTTTATGAAGATGCTGACAACGTTCTACATCATGTGAGCCGCCTTAAGCAGCAGTATTAACATGTTTGGTATGTTTTCTTATTTCTCCAAATACTAAATTTCATCTTAGTTCTGGCCTACATCAGCATATGATTTAATGGTAGCGAGTGAAGGAGTTGATTGTGCCGATCGCTTCACTGATCGCGAGAGTCATATCAGCTCTTGTGTGCTGGTCCGTGATGAAATCTCGGAACGGATTCAGAAGATTTGATCAACTTTTGCCAACTTAAGTCACTTGTGGAGTAGACAAGATGTCTATCTCTCAACTTAAAGACAAGTTTACTGTGCAGAAGTTCGCTTCATTCTGCTTTTTGGTTATGAAACATGGTAATTATGACTAGAGGGTACTCTTAGCTTATTAGTATTCGATCATAAGTGTCTTCGAAGCACTACTTGTGTATTCTGGGATCACGAAATAAGCAAAGTTTGGGTTAGGGACATGACTCTAGGTAAGGACGCTAAGTCTATTGATGAGGTGTTTCAGAGACATGTGTCACGTTTACCCAACTACAGCCTTCCTAAACGAGCAGTGTTGTCTGAAAGCTAGGAGTGGTCTAACCAAGACATAGTACTGGTTCATAAAGCCACTGATCATTGGGTTGAGCTATGATAATAAGTGTAGACCAACACAATGGTGTCCGGATAGCTATCGTAACCGGTAGTTAAAGGTAATTCATTCCTTTTCCTTTAGAATATGATTCTCAAAGTCTTCTCATACCTTTGTTTTTTCGTTTTTTCTGCCTAAACTTTTCAACTACTACTATCACTGTTACTTCTCCTAATATTGTAATTTTTCTTGAAATAATTTCATATCGCTGCACTAATATGGTATTGTAACCTAAACGTATGCACATTTGTCTGGTTCTACACTATGTATGACCTATTGTCTGAGATTTGACTAGGTTCTTAGGATCTTTTTCATTAGTTGAATATTTTTTTTGTATATTTTAACACAATTATTGGTAAATAGGGACACATAAATATATATGCGCCAGAAAAATCGGTGAATTTGCATATGAACTGGAATATTGCTTGAGTACCCATATCGAAGCTGGTAGTTTTCTTAGGAGCTCACTTCCTAAGTCATGGACTCAAAGGTCTAATCCCCTATGCAGTGGAACTACGTCAAGAGATGGAGTCCCATGATGGTGGTGGTCGACAATAGGTTCATAAGCCGTTTGTTCTGTCAAGATCCTGGAGCATATTTACACCACTGGTTTGGAATCAAGGTTTTACAACTCCCCCAGGTGGGTCCGCAAATATTCAACCCAGGAAGCAAGTTTCTCCTGGTCGCTTTCAGTGCCTATCATGAATATATAGAATTCTAACTCACCCATTAATCTTCTTTAATGATATTGACGATTCATTTTTAATTAGTCTCGGGAAGGTGTGAAGCATTTGTTTTCAGTAGATATGTACCTGTGAAATAGATAATTACGTAATTTTCACGCACAGAAAAGTAAGCATAATGCCTTCTTTGTTATTGGTTTGCGGATAGATGGGAAGCTTATAAACAGAATTAAAAGTAATTTTTGTTTATAACCAAATGAAAACTAAACTATGAAGTTTGACTTTTAGTTGTTTTTTAATATTATACTTTTTGAAATAAAGTCAGTTGGCTTGGGCTCTTCTTGGTAATCTAAAAAACAGTCATTCAGTTATTCACTCTCCGGAGTTAATTTTGACATAGGGACTGGTTACCAAATTGAGTTTGTAACATATCTGTAGTATGGTTGACTTTATCAGACACTTAGGGTGCTTCATACTAACCAATATCACGTGCCGAGTCACTAGTCGGAAGTCTAATTTTGTCTATTTCACGACTCCTACTTACTCTAATGGCTTAATGTCCCACGTGATCTATAACGTGCTCAACCCAGAATTTGTGGCTAGGTTCTTATTGACCAGTTATTTACAAGCTTCGCCTAATTGCCTTGGTTTGAGTCCAGAAGTCATCAACTATGTTTTACTATATTTATGTTACAAATAGATTTTCTATATAAACAATTGTACATTAAAAAGGCACAGGTTGCTTTGAATAGAAGGAGACTGTGAGAAATAGATTGGCAACAAAATAAAAATAAATTGTTAAAAAGTAGTTTATAAGTTAACTAAATGTTTATGATGAATGCAATACATAGATATAGTTATCTAGTTTCTTATTGATTATTCAGCAAGAACATCTGTATAATAATTCATAAATTGGTTTTGATAGTTATTATTTCTTAAACAATCGTTCTCACACATTAAGTTGCTACCACTGTAAATTTTCATTTTTAATAATCTCTGTACACTATAAATTTTTTAAATTATATTTTAGCAATGAAATAAACGATCCAATGATTTCTCATGACTTGGTAGTTAGAAACAAAATCACAAGGGAACTATACTATGCATTCCTTAATAATAAGGATCAGTTCAAAAAATTAACTATGGATGTATTTCAGTGTGTACAGTATCCTAATAGTGATAACAGTAATGTATACTTTGCAGGTTAGTAAACCATGTCACACTTTTCTTCATTGTCATTATATTATGATGCAGTAATTTTCATCAGCTATGCATTTATCATTAAAATTTACCAAGTTTTATTATTCTACAGATTTTCTCATCATTTAAACAAAGTTGATATCATAATCATCTTAATGAAATTAATATTAGTCGTGGTCATGTAGATGCGTGAATAGTGCAATATAAATTCATTTATGTTGTTATAATAAACATTAATAACTGTAGCCCCGTAGAAAAGTAAGTATGTAATACTTTCGTATGAGTAACGAGACGTTTATACTTTTATGATTAGAAATAACTAATAATTAGATGTTTCGAGATAAATGAATCGTTGATCTTGTGTTAGAGTAGATGCAGTTCATTTCTTTCTACATTAATATACTACTAATACTGACTCGGTAGTATAAATCATTTGTGCTAAAGTTTGGAAAATGGCAAATTAACTAAGCTCTTCCATAATTGTTCTGTATGGTGAAGATCACTATTACTCGATCGTTTAAATTATTCCATACAGATTATAAAAGTTTTAAGAATAATTAAATCGTAAGTTAATAAACAATAAACGTTTCAGAAATTAATTAGAAAGATCAATTGTACAATTATATTATTATTAGTAATCAGTTTATTATCATAACTTAAATGGCTATTTATTTACTCAAACAGCATGCTATTACTGGTCAATCTTCTTTTTTTTCAATAACTCTAGATATTCTGTTTAAACAGGAGTCCGAATATGAAGGTAATTCAGTATTGTCTTTTCGTTTGTACCAATGACGTTTTCGTATTTATTAATGACTGAATCAAAATGAGTAAATTAATGTGTCGAACTAGTTATTTATGGTTTAATCACGGTCATCTGAAGTGTATCTATATCATCAGTAATAATAGATTATGATGGATAATACATCATTAGTGATATGAACTACTGATTGAATAAAATGTAACACAACATATATAATCTGTAGAAATATTGTTTAGTTCGTTTTTTTTAAAAAAAGGGCTTTTAGATATTGTATCTACTCTGTAATCATTTCAGGTAAAAACAATTACGTTATTTGTATTGTACATGAATACCGTGATGAAGTTGCCAAAGGTCCGTTATCTTCACTGTTAAACTTTTATCGTGAAACACAATGCTTACCTGTTCTGACAGTAAGATTGAAATTTTCTCCTGATATTTTTATTGTTTATTGAAAAATAATGTGATTTTTAAAGTCTTATCTTATTTTATGTAGTTTTAAATCATCTCAATTATGCGAATGATATTTTAAACTTATATATTCGGATTTTTGTTTTCAAAAATTTCACCATGTATATGATCATTTTCGTTCAGTAACAAAGAAATCTATTGTAAAGAACCAAACATCATAATAAGTATATGTATATAGAATGCTTTTAAAAGATATATCTTATAAGGATGTTGCGAAAAAAAACGATTTAAACTTGAATCGTTTATTTCAGTTTTCGGTTTATGAGCCATTTCGACCGGATTTATTTAGAGGAAAAAAGATTTATATATGAACGATTGTAACTAAATAAGTCGCGTATAGACGAAAATAGAAGCACAAGATCAAAAATTCCAGTTTTCTTTTTTTTCAATAAACTTCACAAGTTAACAGCATAATCTTTTTCCCATCTCTGTGGTTAAAAAATGAATTCGATGTCTTAATTTTGTGCTTTTATTTTAAATTTCATGATGTCACAACTAAACCTGATTAACAGTAGATGTTCATCGTCAGTGAGATAGATATCAAACAGTTTGTTTTACACAAAAATATTAATAAAGATAGATTTTAAAGAATTAAAATTAATTTTCTTTTTTAAAACTGTATTATGTTTGTTTGAATTTTGCAGTTTAATCTTCGTGATTGGTATTGTTTGCCTCATGAAAAACTCAGAGCAATGGTTGTAAAAAAATTTCTACTAAACGTATCTGAGAAATTGAATGAAATGAATAATTTGAATTTACCAGAAATTCACACAACAAATGCTGTTCTTCGATTTTAATACAATGTTAAACTATGATGAATAGTATGTTAATGCATGTTTTCTATTCAAACAGATAACTCATGATTTTGTATATTCTAATGTACCATATAATGAATTGGGCTGTTTTTTTTTCTTTCGATCTGTACAACTGTGAATGCTCTTGTATTTGAAACAAAAATAAACAAACAAACAAACATTTTAAACACTTAACACTGTGTTATGTATGAATGTATTTAACAAATTAGTGAATATATTTTACTCATCCTACCCTTTATGAATATGTTTTTAGTTTCTAGTTTGAAAACGGTATCATGAAATATGTAACAGATCTATTTACTTCGTAGACTTATTTTCCTTTGTATTCATTACTCAAATTTAGTATGTTCAAGTTCCTTTAAAAATAGTTGGTCCAATTTTTTTTTTCGTGTCACTATGACCAAGTGAAAATATTCTGTTTACATTCTGCACACGGACTTGAATTTGAATGTTGAATAGGAATTTTCTCTTAGTAACAATTTTTGGACAAGTTTGTTTTTTCATTAGGATTCACTTTCAAGCACAACTCGTTTAATTGTTGATTTTTTAAGGTGTCACCTTTGAGAGAGTTTGTTTTCCCGTAGATTTTAAATTATATCCATTGAAGTCGTTGGTAATTTCAATTAGATTTTTTTCTTTCTACAAAATGATTATTGAAATATCAAGATACTAATATTTAAGTGTTTATTTTATGTAACTAAACACAATGTTGAACAATCCCCATATAAGTTCTCAATGCTTTTATTCATAAAAAGGGAAAATATCAATTTTTGGAAAATAATATTTCTTCATAGTGCATAATATTCACTTGATTTCTGTTGATTGTAACTGATAAGAATGCTTTCTTTTGATTTCATCACCAATAAGCTAAAGTCTTAATGTATCTTAATAACCTAACAACATCTCTTTCAAACAACAAACATGGAATTTTTCAGTTCTAGTATTTACTTTGTTGTATTTACTGTAGCAGTCAGTTGATCCATGATAACACTGGAGATAGGGACGGCATTATTATTCCACTGAAATTTCTAGTATACCAAACAGCAAGTATTGTCACTTTGACCTTACTTAGTTTGTACGAAAATGACATGGCAATCCTTATAAATCCTTTTTTTTATTTGAGAAAATATGAACTGCAAATAAAATGCTTGTAATTAGGAGAAACTTATGCAGTTCGTAAAATAATTGCATACCGTAACATTATTATTGAATTATATCGCGTAATAATATTCTGTTCTATTGATCAATGTATTCAGCACATAGATATAAATTGCTTGAATGTTCAATTGAATAATCTTGTATCAAGCATGATAATATAACTAACATTCAGTAACGAACAACCGAATAATCATTGATTGCATTGTGATAATCGTTTTCGTCCTTGTTTATTTATATTTATTTGGTAACTAGTAATTTGGTATAACAATTTCTATGTAAATAAGAATAATAGATTGAATGATTCAGAGTAAACAACTGAGTTATGTGTAAGCATTTGTATGCAAAACGGTACTGTTATTAAATGTATTTTAAAAACCTCATTTCGCGAAATTTCCAAGATATTTACACGCGTAAAGATACGGATGAAAGAAGAAATGTTATTTGTGATAATGATATGAAAGTTATTTATAATGCACACAATAAAATAAGTAATAGGCAGTAGCTATTTCAACTTAAAAGTGGATTCCAGCAAATGGAAATTAGTCTTATGTTACAAATAAACAAATTAAGAATACACAAGAATTACGGATAACTGTTGCGAACGTTAAGAGGAAACAATTTCAATTAAAATTTGTTTGAACGTATATTTGTTTTCATTCTAAACATTCTGTGATAAGTTTCGTTTCAAACATTTTTTATAGTTTGAGTCACGAACTGATCTTAACCAGATCACCATTGTAAACCTCTAAGCGCTGAATGGCTGTTTCGTCTTGGTATGGAAAGCCTCGACAATGCGCATCCATGCGCTTATCAATAATGATAGAACCTAGGACCTTCGGCCTCGCTTGTGATCACTTAACCTCTAGGCCAATGAGCCGGCATCTCATTGGGTTAATGTCTGTCTCCAACCAATGCGCGAACTTAAACAAAATCCATCGATTGCATGTCATATAAAACTATCTTACAACCCACACAATCTAAACTCTATTAGTCACAGTTTCTCATTATTACTCCGGAAGTTACATTTTGAAGCTAGTCACTAGTGCGTACGTGATTATCAGTACAGAAGAATCACACAGAACTCGTACGAAAGACTTAATCGAAAAATCGTCAGTGAAAGTCAGCTCCTAAAAACATCCCAAGGAAACAATGGTGTTAGACAGGTTTGCCTACTCTCGCTTTTTCCCTTACTAGACTATGAAGACATCTATTCTCTAGAGCAGCAAAATTTACGGAAGACATTGAACGCTTCTGGACGATCTGAACTTTGCAAGTTGCTCAGCCCTTCTGTCGCATGCACAAAAATAGACCCAGATGAAGGTAACTAGTGTCGCACATACTTTGGGAGAAATAGGCCTCAAGATTCACTAAAGCAAAAACAAAATCCAGGGGTGCAACACTGTTAGCAGCCACCAAATCACACTGGATGATGGAGATCTAGAAAAAGTGAAGGCTTTTACGTATCTTTGCAGCACCGTTGATAAACCAAGGGGAATATAATCCAGTTATCAAGGCTTGAAATGACGAAGTCAAAGCAACACTTGTATGATTGAAGAATATCTGCAACCTAAAAGAATTTTCAGCCAAAACTAAATTAGATAATAAACCTTCCCTAGTTACCTGCAGTTGAATCTGTATTTACATGTATGTGCGACATCAAATAGGTTTTAAGAACAGTATAGTAATATCTAAAAGAATCTCTAAATAAATGACAAAAGAGTTGTTATAAAATAACTTCAGATTACTTTGTGATCCCGTAAGAAGACATATTTTAGACACTGATGATCCAGTAAATCCTGATACTGTTTTTCCAGTTTTAAATAGAAGAAATGATGATAGTCGCTCTTTGTCATATTAATCTCAGTTTTCGTGTGTGAAATGAACTTAAAGTTCGATATCTTGCCCAACTAATTCATCTATAAACAGCCGTCTATCGAAGACACTCCATATCCATTAGTCAGAGACCATCAGCTATAGTCTACTCTCAACAAGAGCAAACCAGCTATCAGTTAGCGAAGAAATTAGGAAAAGTGACTAGAGGTGGAAGGGATAATAATATCTTTGATGATGAATTTAAAAACTTCACATTCTATGTTTTTCAGTTGTCTATATAGTGAACCTAGGTGTTGAAAAATAAAGTGTTTCGAATTCCTTATTTTTTAATTGCTCACTAACTTCATGTGAGCACATAACTTAAGTCTCTATCTGGAAATAAATCAGAGTAATTTAGATTAAAGATCATTACTTAGAATCAAACTTATGCTGATAAGTTATCACACTGTAAGAATTAATTTTAATGAATCCTTCTAAATTGCTACACTTCACTATCACATTTGAAAATTCAAATTACATTTAAAAATGCAAACATATATGCATATACACATACAAAAAAAATCGTACACATATACACACAAAAACTAATTGGGCTATTTAAAGAAATGTCTATAATTCATACATAGATATATTTAAAAAAAAATTCTTAAACACACCACAATGAATGGAATGTGTGTATGTGATTAAACATTATCCACTTTCAAAAGAATTTTTATGCTAGAAATCGACAAATGTTGATTATATAATCAATTCTACAATGAGAGTTAAAGAAGCTGTAGTTGTATGCAATTGAAGATTGTACATAAGTAAATAAGCAGTAAGAGACTAATTTCTAGCTAACATTTAATCTGAAATAGAAATTACTTTGTGCTTTCATTAGATCATGAAAAATAATGCCATGCAAATTTCGTAAACAATGGTTTATTTTAAAAAAATCTTTACAATCTGTTTCTATTTTTTTTGAATTAAAAGCCAAACAATTGGTAATATTTACCAGACATTGAAGATGTTAAATACCGAATATGTGTACAATTCAAAACTATAATTTGATAAATATTGATAATAAAAATTTAATAATAGTGATTGACTACGTTTTGGTAAGGATGATTTCCATGAATGAGTTCATCAATAAATTATCCAACTCAGGGAATGCATTAGGTCTAAAATCTTCATTTTAGTGTTCAGATGGTGTGTTTTGAAGAAAATTTTTTTTCTACTTACGCCTGCTACGCCTAATGGACTGTAGGCCGTAGACAAGCAAGTACAAAGTACAGTTAAGATAAAAGCCTAGATTACTACTATAAAAGGGATACAACCTTAGATGAATGTCACCGGAAGAAATCTTGTTATGTCTACGGTTCATCTCCATAAAGCCATGGTGTAATGAATACATGAGCGAAACAACAGTACTGATATTGTATGTACTACTTCATTGGGTAAAGTGAGTTATGATCAAAGTAAAACAAATATATATTTCTGATATCCATAATGTTAGACAAATTCTGTCAATCAGTTTACCGAGTGGCTACTAACCCAAGTGATTCCATCATTCTGAAATTAAATGGTAGTACTTGATTTCGTGATAGTTGATATAAATCAGTAGGGTATAGTTCAATTATCGGTAAGGCAAACAGATATACTTAATGACAATTGTTAACGCTCAGCAATGAATCATTACTACAAGAGGTCGATACCAGCGAGTACAACTTCATAGTACCATCTACGACATTCATAATTAATGGAATGTGTTCAACTACCATGAAAACCATTGATTCTCGTACATATAACTTAAATGGTTTAATTTTATAGAAAATGTTCAAGAAGGAACTGTACCCTGAAGCATTCAAACTGTTCATGACACACCATGATTCAAAAAAATTTATATCTAATTTCTTAATTCAGAGAACCTGTAGAACGTCAAATGATGTCCGGATTTATGACATTCAAAGTAATGTGTAGTCAACAGATATACTGTCACTGGTTAAATCTAT